CAAGGCGTATGTAGTTAAAAACCCTTGTAATTTATTTCTTTGTAGTGGATCCATGTCACCCAGGGTCAGTTTGATACTGTGATATTGTTACTGTCGGGAAGCTGGGGTACTTTTACTTTAAATTTGAAAGTATTATACCAGTACAAACTAACACTTTGTTATACAGGTTAAAGTCTACCTTACTGATACCGTCACAACCAGATACCTGAATTACCGTATCTGCTTATACCTAAATGAGTTGCACTAATACTGTATAGTTTACGGTACAATTACATTACTGTCAGAGCATGATAGTGCTTCCATATTTCATGCTACTTGAGCCCATGCCGTCTTTGTCCTACTGCTGCTTACTGAATCATGTTTGTGATTGACAGTAACCAGCGTTCGATTTACAAGGTAGAGAGTCAACACACAGTATCCAGCATTCGTGTACAGAGTGTGAGAGTCAACAGTGGCTTTCGTGGTTCGCGTGATAAGAGTTGAGAGTCAACACACAGTATCCAGCATTCGTGTACCAAATTAGAAAGTCCATTATAGCGTTTCGTGACAAAGTGAAGGTCAACACCAGTATCAACGTTTCGTGTACAGAAGTCGAGAGTACGCCATCCAGCATTCGTTTTAAAGTGACAGAAAAGTATCCAGCGTTCGTGTACAGAGTGAGAGAGTCAACACTCAGTGTCCAGCGTTCGTGTACAGAGTCAGCGAGAAGTCATCCAGCAGCATTTCTGTGTACAGAGTATGAAAGTCAACACAGTAGCCAGCGTTCGTGTACAGAGTTTAGAGTCAACCTCAGTATCAAGCGTTCGTATGCACAGTGAAGTCAACACAATACCAGCGTTCCATGTACACAGGTGTGAAGTCAACACACAGTATCCAGCGTTTGTGTACACAGTGTGAAGGAAGTCAACACACAGTATCCAGCATTCGTGTCCCAGAGGTCAACACACAGTATCCAGCATTCGTGTACAGAGTGAAGTCAACACAGTATCCAGCGTTCGGTGCAGAGTAGAAGGTCAACACCCAGTGTCCAGCGTTCAGTACAGAGTGAGAGTCGTCACACCAGTATCCAGCATTCGTGTACAGAGTGTGAGTCAACACACAGTATCCAGCGTTCGTGTACAGAGTGAGAGTCAACACCCAGTGTCGCCGTTCGTGCTGGAATGAGAGTCAACACACAGTATCCAGCATTCGTGTACAGAGTATGAGAGTCAACACACAGTAGCCAGCGTTCGTGTACAGAATGTGAAGTCAACACTCAGTATCAAGCGTTCGTATACACAGTGGAAGTCAACACACAATACCAGCGTTCATGTACACACAGTGAGAGAGTCAAACACAGTATCCAGCGTTTGTGTACACAGTGTGAAAGTACACAGTATCCAGCGTTCGTGTACACAGTGTGAGAGTCAACACACAGTATCCAGCGTTCGTGTACAGAGTATGAGAGTCAACACACAGTATCCAGCGTTCGTGTACACAGTGGAGAATACAACTCACGGTATCCAGCGTTCCATGTACACAGTGTGAGAGAGTCAACACACAGTATCCAGCGTTTGTGTACACAGTGTAGAGAGTCAACACACAGTATCCAGCGTTCGTGTACACAGTGTGAGAGAGTCAACACACAGTATCCAGCGTTCGTGTACACAGTGTGAAAGTCAACACACAGTATCCAGCGTTCGTGTACACAGTGTGAAAGTCACACAGTATCCAGCGTTCGTGTACACAGTGTGAGAGAGTCAACACACATAGTCACACCTAAAATAGGTTGAACATCGTGTGGACATAAAGGCCAACACAACAGCCCTGCAAAAAGGCAGATATATGAATCGAAAAATTGTAATGGATAAGTTCCCAAATATGGAAGACAAGTATTAAAGACAAATTACCATAAAAGGACGATAAGACTTGCTAACAGGCGGCCGAAAATTAATGTATTTTTATCCGGACGCGACCAAAAGAAGGCGACAGTGAAAATGTCTTCATGTCCCTAAAGACTGTAGTTACTTCTTAAACTAATGATATTTAGCCATGGGAGTATAATATTTTTAATGTCCTAAAATTGATCTAAAAAAGTGCGTAGTAGAACTTCGTCTGATAAAACCAATAACTTGACATCCAAAAATGGACCATGGGCCCTGTAGTACTCCCTCCCTTCCCTTCCCCTCCCCTCCCTCCCGGTCTGCTGCTGTATATTCCAAGGGTAGCGGTAATAAACACCTCATCCCCTACGTTTATACACTCGTAAGTGCTGACAGAATGACACTTAGAGAAAGGCGGCAGAAGGGGCGGGTCACCGACTTTAATTATCTGGGACCTCCTCTACACCTGTCATTAGCGTGTAGCGTCTTGTTCATAGGTCTTACGTGGAGTCTATCCAAATGGTGGAGTGTTAAGGTAGAAGATGTGGGAGAGAAGGACGATGTGGCCCGCTGGGAGACTGAGGTTGGGTTGGGAAGATAGATTACAAACTCATGGGTCCCAGTCTGGGTCCCAATCTAGAAAAGGATTGGGAACAAGCAAATTCTAACAGGGCCCCAATCTAAACGCATTAGAATGGACCAGTTTTAATTTGAAACTTCTCCCTAGTGGGCCCCAGTCCTACTTCACCCTGACAGGCTACAGACCTAATTCGCCCCAATCCTTACGGGCCCCAATCCTTACGGGCCCCAGTCCTAAAATAGACCCCAGGACATGTATTCCCGTCCGAATCGCTGGTCTGGTGAGCAGCAGGAGGAAAGGTGATATGTTAACAAGTGGAAATGCCACCTGTGTTGCCATGTGACTCTCAGTGTTCACACCTTATGTCCATTAGTGTTCATACGTATGTTCACACCATCTTCAGCCGTGTTGACATCGTACGTACCTTTGCTGCCTTGATTATTCACCCTCTCATACGTAACACGTAGGGTGTATTGATCAGACGTGGGGGACACAGCGCTGGGATGAGGAGTGAGCCTGTGGGTGTGTTATTGTTGTGTTGGTGTAGTGTACGACCCTCCCTCGCCCTAAACCCACCTCCAACCTCCCTCCCCTAAACCCCTTACCATCCACCCTCCCTCCCCTAAACCCTTCCCTCCTACCACCTCCCCCCCCCTAAACCCTTCCCTCCTCCCCTTCGATCCTCCCCTCAGTGACGTTTTTGAAATAAGTTGAACATGTTCGGTTTTCTTTTTATTTTACTGCCATATATTGACGTAAATGGAGCAGAGGAAGCAGACAAACAGACACGCTTTTAATCCTATCAATGTAAGTTTTTACGTTTAAGATTTAGAGCTCAAACACACACACACACACACCACACACACACACACACACACACACACACACACACACACATACATTAGGGGAGGAGGGACGACTACTGACCTATGGTAGAGGGCGACTGTGTCCTGCATGTAAAGCTTCATTTTGTTGACCATCCACGATGAACGTGTCACGGCTCACCTCGTTACCCCGGCCTTGTGTGCATCCCAGAGCCACCGGGTTTACCACTCACACACACACACACACACACACACACACACACACACACACACAAGACCATAATCCCCACCAAGTACCACTGTCACATGTATAACCACAGTCACTACCACATACTGTATACTATACCACAACCGACACTACATCTACAAGGAACCTGTGTTATATTAGTTAACGTGTAGTCTTATATAACCAGGGATCTACACGTAATATATGTACAAATAGTGTAGGCAATCGTTCATACTAAGGGACCTTATTGTACACCATGTATCCACCACATATGTTTCTGACCACGACGACAAAAGTGTGTGTGTGTGTGTGTGTGTGTGTGTGTCTCCTTTATTTCCAGGAGTTTATGTATTTTTTACTATTTCCTGTTTTTAGATTTTTAGTATTTCCTGAGACTTTTTGGGTATTTCCAACTCATTCCCTTTGCATTAGCATTTTTTATATAATTTCCAACCCTATTTCTTGGGTTTTATAATATTTCTTTGTGTTATTATTTCTATTTCCTATATATATATTTTTAGTGTATTTTAGGTTTTAGGATTTTTCCAATCCTTTTATTTAGAGTTTATTGGATATTGTATTTCCAGCATTATTTCCTGGATTTTTTGGAATATTTGGGTATTTCAGCATTATTTCCTGGATTTTGGAATGTTATGGTATTTCCAGCATTATTTTCTGGATTATTTGGAATATTTGGGTATTTCCAGCATTATTTCCTGGATTTTTTGGGAATATTTGGGTATTTCCAGCATTATTTCCTGGATTTTTTGGGAATATTTGGGTATTTCCAGCATTATTTCCTGGATTTTTGGAATATTTGGGTATTTCCAGCATTATTTCTTGGATTTTTTGGAATATTTGGGTATTTCCAGCATTATTTCTTGGATTTTTGGAATATTTGGGTATTTCCAGCATTATTTCCTGGATTTTTGGAATATTTGGGCATTTCCAGCATTATTTCTTGGATTTGGGAATATTTGGGTATTTCCAGCATTATTTCCTGAACTTTGTGGAATATTATGGTATTTCCATAATATTTCTTGGACTTTTTAGTAATTTCTAGTATTTCCAACCGTATTTCTTGAATTGGAGATAATTTGTATTTCTACGGGATAGTCGACTACAACCTCCCCAAAATGGCGTAGCATTGTGACATTGAGCCGGATCTGGACCTCATGGTTTATCAGGCTCCCATTAAAAACATATTGAGCCGGATTCGAACACGGGTGTAAGACATATCGGATTCCTTATTATAGATATATGGAGCCGGATCTAAACACATTATGGCGTATCAGGCTCTCTCTTAAGAACACATTGAGCCGGTTATGAACACAAAGACATATTCGGCTCCTTAAAGATACAATAACCCGGATCCGAACTATGGCGTATCAGGCTCCTTATTAAGAATACACCAGGCCGGATATAATCAAGGCTTAAGACATATCCGGCTTTATAAACAATATAAAATAAATAAAAGCAGAGATAGGATTTGAAATAATAAGCCAGAATGCAAATTGTTTTGGTTTTATTATCAAATATAAAATGTACAAATGTTCTTTAGTCGCTCCGGCACATCACCCACTGCACAACGCTACAGACAGACAGACAGACAGACAGACAAGGTATACCTGCACCGTCTCACACTATAGACAGGACCACACAAGGGGTACAGTGTTGCGAGAGTGCCAGGAACACCATCGATAAACCGTGTGTATCTATGTGTGTATTTATTTATTTATTTATGAAAGTAGGTAACATGATTCAGCCAAACCTAACAAAACCTAACCTACGCTAACCTAACCTACGCTAACCTAACCTAAAATTTGGTTTTGTTGGTTGGGAATAGTTTTGTTGGTTGTGTTTCGTTATGCTAGGTTGGGTTTGGTTAAGTTAGGATGGGTTTGGTTTAGTTATGTTAGTTTTAGTTTGGTTTTCTTGGATTTGGTTAAGTTAGGTGAGGTTGGGTTGATTCGTGCCGCCTGAACATACAACCAACGGTGTAGCGATGGTGTTCGTGGTTACTTGCCTACATTGTACCTCTTGCCGGGAAAACAAACCACGTGAAGACCCTGCCATACACCACTTAGTGTGTTCAGATAACAATTCCTCTTGATAATTTATTTATTTTTATTACTTTCTATGGAAGAGATAACCTTAGTATTAATTTATTTTTTTATTTTTTTTATTTTTAAGTATTTAAGATGTAGTTAGGGTTAATGTGTTTGTATGATAATAAAAAAAAATATCCGACACAAGATGAATGTTCACTTTATTTCCGCCACTTTATTTGTTGTTATTTTTTAAGGTATTTTCTTTAATTTGTTTGTTTTGTTGTTAATAATACAAAACCAGTGGTGGAACAAGACAAAAAAAATTCCAATCACTTATAAAGCAGAGTACATGACCCAACCAAATTTAACCTAAACTAACCATACCTTAGCAAAATTACCCAAGGACCATTACGTTAGGTTAGGTTGATTTGTGTGGTATCGTTCACAAGTGATGTTACCCTTGTGCCATCCCCCGTGTGCATTATCTTTATTAAAACAAACGCATCAACGAAAACCCCGAGAGAAATATCAAGAAGGATGGCGACAGAGTTAAACTGATTATTTACATAACATACCGTAAGTCCGCTAGGGTGATGAAACAATTGTGTTTTATCGAAGAACTGCAATGTGTAGAAGCATCTGACTGCCGGGGTGGCTGTCAGTGCTGGTCCACTAACCTCAAGTAGACTAACTCTCTCACCTGCACAAGACATTCAGCTTCTCACAACAACCAACTGCTCAAAATACATAACCAACGAGTAGCTATTTACAGATATGAAGGTGACGCCATAGGTCTCCTGTCACCATGTTAGGCACTACGACTCCCCGTCAGCTTAATGCCGTCTATGAGACATTTTGTTTCACCGTGGGCCCATCACCACGCCAGGGCCCCTGTCAATGCTCAGAACCTCAACAATACCCAGTAAACAATAAACAGTGTTGTCTTGCCATTCCCAGTGTACGCTACTGAAGAACACTTCACAAGACCCATAGGGCCCTCACCATATCTCTCCTCTCCAGCTCCCACAAACAAGGACCTGAACCTACCAAGGTCCTTTCATGTCCAGTCCATCGTCCTCTAAGTCAACCTCCATGGCACCGATGTGATGTAGTACCTGGCATGCATACAAGGCCAGGTGTCATAGGACCAGGGCCCAGAATACTGCTATTAGTAGTCCCATGACAACCACGGCCTCATACTTTCCTTTCTCGTTCGTGGACCCACACAACCAAAGCTGTACATTTAATACATCTGTCAATGGCCTTCTTCAAAGTACAGGTTCTGTATGTCTCGTGTGTACAGGGCGTGACACAAACAGAGGCACCTACACGGTTGTTTCATAGTCCACACAGACGACATCGCCAGACGGGGCGCGTTGTCACCAGGACTCCTTATCTGATGGCAGCAGCAGGTCATGTGTGGCACTCTTTACACCGTGGCTGTTGTTCTCCACCACCGCCGTAGCCACTGCCTTTACTGCCAGTGTCCTTCGGCGATGAATTATCACTGCCACTAAAAGTGCCACAAGAGACATAAGCAGGATAATCCCAGCTGCCAGATACACCCACGGTAACGCAGCGAGCAAACCACAAGCGGCGGCTCCCTCATCCATGCCCGAGGGGCAGTGAGAGTCACCGTCACACCACAGCTCGACAGGTAGACACGCCTTAATTTCCGGGCAGCGGTGAGGGCACATGTCAGCACCAACGGGGGACAGCGGCGCCGTCTGCAGTGGCCGCCACACCCCCACCCACGTTATCAAGAATCTACCTGAGTAGTTTCCCACATACTCCACCAGCAGGTCACGCGTCTCCCGCTGGCGGTCCCCAGGGTGTCTGCCATGCTGCTGCGGGTGGTGGTGGTGGACGTCTTCTATGCTACCATTAAGCCTGGAGATTCTGTCATTGTGGTCCGTCAGGGCCTTCTCTAAGCCCCGCCAGCCGCTACTGAACACATGTGTGGAGGCTTGGCGGGGCTCCGGGCAGATGGAAGCCAGAGGAGCCATGCCATCTGCTGAGTACACGTTAATACGGGATGACACACCGCAGTTGGTTTCCATAGCGCTTTTTCCGTTGACCCGGAGGAAGAGGAAGGAGCCGTCGTTGGCAGTAAGGAGGCGCGGGAGGCTGGAGCAGTGGTCGCCCTGTCCTGCACCTACCGTGAAGTTGCCGTGACGGCCAGACAATCGCCTCTCCTCCTCGTCACACTCCACACCAATGTCAAAGATGGTGTATTCACCCTCGAAGAAGAAGTCCGTGTAGTCATGAGCGGCCGTCATGTGCGGCACGCTAAGCACTACCTGGATCTTGTTGGTGTAAGAGATGAGGGAGAAGGGGCGGGCGTGGTAGGTGTTACACAAACAGGCACGGGTGAGCTGCACGCCCTCCCACGGTTCCTCTGTCACCCATATGGCGGGCTCGTACGCTGCCCCGCCATGGGAACACTCATAGCGTAATGAAGACTCATGGTACACGGTGTCGCAGCTGGAGCCCATGCGGGAACGGATAATGCGAAGTGCGATGCGTTGGTAAGGTTCAGCTAGGAACGTGTAGACACACTTCAGTCGCCGTGACCCTCCACGTCCAAATAAGAAGACGTCTCTTGGTGAGGCAAAGAGTCCGTCTGGCCGCAGTGTGAAAGTACGATCACAAGGACCTCCGTTGGGCGTCGCTGTTCCCCACTGACGCTTGTCCACGAACTCGTAGCGCGCCAAGAACTCCACATGCGCTGGTGTGGTGCCGGCAGCATAGCGCAGGGACAGGGTTAGTGCCGACGAAACGGAAACATAACTCTCAGCTGGTGAGCAGGGTGCCGCATGCGGTCCTGGAGCATGGACGCCGCTACACACCCTAGGCAGGCGCTCTGGTCGGCAAAACCTGCCTAGCCGCGTTGGAGTGGTGGCGTTAATGTCCGCCAGGCCGGCCAAGTCATTATTCTGCTGGAACATACCGAAGCCGTAGATATGGTCGGGCACGTGGGCACCCGTGGGGTCACCGTCCAGGATGGTGAGGGTGTTGGAGCAGTGGGCGGGGGATGGCATCTCGGCGTGCACCACGTGGCGGTAATGTAGGAAATAGAGCCACACTACCTCAGACGTCGCCGCCAGCAGCCGCCAGGTGCAGGTGGTGTTGGGCAGCAGGGAGTGTGCGGGCGCCTGCAGGTAGCCACTTCTCTGCCCGCGGCTACTAACCATATAGTCACACGTGCCTCCCTGGCGCACGTACGCTGTCGATTCCCGGTCTACGAATTCTACTTCGACGTCGAGTTCAAAGCCGAAGGTGCGACGACGCGGTGAATCTTGGAAGGGAAAATCAAAGGGCGAGGCATGGAAGACTAGGAGAAGGTCCGGGCCACTGGAGGTGATACCTGACAAAGCTGCACCGCCCTTGCACAGCGTCGTCAGCACTGCCGCCCGTGTCGTACTGCCGTCGAAGGCTATGAGGTAGTCGTATAGCACGTGGCATGCTGAGCCTATACGCATCTGTCGTTCCCTCGAGAGGTGCGGCGCATTGCGATCTTTGATGTATATAAGGTGAGGGTTGCGTTGGAACACGCGGATGAGGGGCAGTTTACCATCAGGCACGCGTGTCTGGCGCACCTGGTAGCTACACGTAAGGTTGCGTGGGTACAGCCCGGGATAATTGGGCGACTGTATCTTACAGTTCTTCTTGTCGCAGTTCTCGAAGTACTTGTCACAGAAGGAGTTAGGGATGTCCTCGCCCCGGTAGCTGGGGTTGTAGGGCGGGCCATACCGCAGTACCGCGCGCTCCTTCCGCAAGAAGCGATAGGAGATCCGCAGCATGATGGACTCCGGCGGCGAAAAGACTGCCGGGTTGTTTTGGTCTTCCTCAAGGCGGTTAAAGACCCGTAGCATGACGGTGACGGCGGAGGTCTCTGAGTAGAAGACGTTGTGGCCCCAGGAGGCCCCGCACCAGTACCCAGCGTTGAGGGGGCGACTCAGCTCTTCTATCTGCATGTAGCCGTCAGGGCAGCCAGCCACCGTGTGTGACACAAACCTGCGGGCAGGAGGAGGGTTAGTGGGGGCTACGACTAGTACATGTTGATTATGGTCTGGTCAGGGGTAGTACATGTTAGTTAGGGTAATACATGTTGTGGTCAGGGGTAGTACATGTTAGTTAGGGTAATACATGTTATGGTCAGGGATAGTACATGTTAGTTAGGGTAATACATGTTATGGTCAGGGGTAGTACATGTTAGTTAGGGTAATACATGTTATGGTCAGGGGTAGTACATGTTAGTTAGGGTAGTACATGTTGTGGTCAGGGGTAGTACATGTTAGTTAGGGTAGTACATGTTGTGGTCAGGGGTAGTACATGTTAGTTAGGGTAGTACATGTTATGGTCAGGGGTAGTACAATACAGATTAGCCTAACTTAACAATCTTAACATAACTGAACTTTACAAGCGTGACCAAACCTAACACAACTGTAGATGTTTGACCTAACCTACGTAACCCACTTAACCTTCTATTTTCAATCGAACATTGATGTTGTCTACGTGTGTGTGTGTGTGTGTGTGTGTGTGTGTGTGTGTGTGTGTGTGTGTGTGTGTGTGTTTAAAAGTACACACCCGTCTCAACAACACAAATGGACTGAAATCCAAACCCTGTTATCTGTCACCATTTCCTCCTAATTATTTACCGTGTTAAGTGTATGTCTGTCGTAATTCACCCGGACACCATCCACTCCAAAACAAAAATGAATGAATGCGCCAAACCGGACCTGCAGTTCAGTGGGCCAGCGGTCCACACCCAAACGCTTGACATTCAATTATAATCTTAATTGAACGGTCGTGTCAGGTGTCAAAGCCGAAATTGGAAGCTTTTACCCCCCAGTCTGTTTAGGGGGGGAGGGAGGGGGGTGGAGGGGGGATGAGAGAGGATTTTATAGGGGGGGGGTAATTGAGGTGTTAGTGTGGGTTATTGAGGTGTTAGTGTGGGTTATTGAGGTGTTAGTGTCGGTTATTGAGGTGTTAGTGTGGGTTATTGAGGTGTTAGTGTGGGTTATTGAGGTGTTAGTGTGGGTTTTTGAGGTGTTAGTGTGGGTTATTGAGGTGTTAGTGTGGGTGATTGAGGTGTTAGTGTGGGTGATTGAGGTGTTTGTGTGGGTTATTGAGGTGTTAGTGTGGGTTATTGAGGTGTTTGTGTGGGTTATTGAGGTGTTTGTGTGGGTAGTGTGGGTATTTATGGTGTTAGGTGGGTATGTGATGTGTTAGGTAGCCTAAATTAAGACTGGCACCAATTCCACCTGTAAGTTGATGTCAGGTTACGAGCCATTATTATTATTATTATTATTATTATTATTATTATTATTATTATCATTATTATTATTATTACTATTATTATTGCTGTTATTGTTATTGTTATTGTGGAAGAAGATGCGGTACGTTGTAAGTTATTTTTTGACTCAGGTGAGATGCGAAATTTTTCCTCCCCTTGAGAAACATTTTTGGCTATCGGGAGTAAAGTGCAATTTTGTTGAGGCGTATAATGCATTCTCGGATTTCAGAGGATTTTTGGTACGAATGTTTTATCTCTATCTCTTTTTCTCCTGCTCTGTCTGTCTGTCTGTCTTGGCTCTCTCTCTCTCTCTCTCTCTCTCTCTCTCTCTCTCTCTCTCTCTCTCTCTCTCTCTCTCTCTCTCTCTCTCTCTCTCTCAATTCCTTAATACATTATAAAAGTGAACGCTCACTTTAATTTCAGAGGAGAGACTTAACCAATAAAAGATAACGCCAATACAAGCGAAATGCAGACGAAGGCTCGCCTGACGTTACTTCCATAAACATTTTACTGCGGAGTCCGAAAAACTCTGCCTAGTAAAGTATTTCTTATTGTAGCCTTCGAGTAGGACCTTAAGTACGACCTCTTAACTATATCCTGCTAGTATAACTTTTGAGTATGATCAATATGTTTCTATATACAGTATATTAGGTTTATTTGGTATATTTATGTTATATAATTTATCTTATATAATAGTTTTTTTTTTATTTAAGTCTGTGTGTCTATGTCTGTGTGTCTCTATGTCTGTGTGTCTCTATGTCTGTGTGTCTCTATGTCTGTGTGTCTCTGTCTGTGTGTCTCTATGTCTGTGTGTCTCTATATCTCTGTGTGTCTCTATGTCTGTGTGTCTCTATGTCTGTGTGTCTCTATATGTCTGTGTGTCTCTATATGTCTGTGTGTCTATATGTCTGTGTGCCTATATGTCTGTGTGTCTCTATGTCTGTGTGTCTATATGTCTGTTTGTCTATATGTCTGTGGGTCCTCTATGTCTGTGTCCTCTCTAATGTCACAAGTGTGTCTATATTTTGTGTGTCTCTATGTCTGTGTGTCTCTATGTCTGTGTGTCTCTATGTCTGTGTCTCCTATGTCATAGTGTCTCTCCTATATCTGTGTCTCTATATGTCTGTGTGTCTCTATATGTCTGTGTGTCTCTATGTCTGTGTGTCCATGTCTGTGTGTCTCATGTCTGTGTGTCTCTATCATCTCAGCCTCCTATGTCTGTGTCTCTCTTCTATGTCTGTGTATATATGTCTGTGCATTCCTCTATGTCTGTGTCTCTATATGTCTGTGTCTATATGTCTGTGTCTCTATGTCTGTGTCCTCACTATATCACCAGTAGTAATATGTCTGTGTATCTCTCTATGTGTGTGTCTATGTCTGTGTGTCTATGCATGAAGCTGTCTCCTATGTCTGTGGTGTCTCTATGTCTCTGTCTCATGTCTGTGTGTGTCTCTGTAATATATGTGTGTCTCTATGTCTGTGTATATATGTCTGTGGCCATTACCATATGTCTGTGTGTCTCCCTATGTATACCATACTTGTGTCTCCTATGTATCCTCCTATGTGCATGGCCTCTATATGTCTGTGTGTCTCTATATGTCTCTGTGTGTCTCTGTCTGTGTGTCTATATATGTCTGTGTGTCTCTATGTCTGTGTGTGTCTCTATGTCTATGTGTGTCTCATGTCTGTGTCTATATGTCTGTGTCTCTATGTCTGTGTGTCTCCTATGTCTGTGGTAATCTCCCTATATGTCTGTGTGTCTCATATGTGTGTCTCTATAATGTGTCTCTATATGTCTGTGTGTCTCTATGTCTGTGTGTCTGTGTGTCTCTATATGTCTGTGTGGTCTCTGCTCTGTGTGTCTCTATGTCTGTGTCTCTGTCTGTGTGTATATGTCTGTGTGTCTCTCTATATGTATATATATGTGTCCTATATGTCTCTATATATGTGTCTCTATGTCTGTGTGTCTCTATATATGTGTATATATGTATATATGTGTGTCTCCCTATGTCTGTGTCTATAATACGTAGTCTCCCTATCGTATACTCTATATGTCTCTGTCTGTGTGTCTCCTATGTCTGTGTGTATATATGTATCCTCTATGTGTAAATATATGTATATGTGTGTCTCCTATGTCTAGTATGTCTCTAATAATGTGTGTGTCTCTATCTGTCTCTGTCTGTGTGTCTCCTATATATGTCTGTGTGTCATATATGTGTCTCTGTCTGTGTATCTCCTACTTCTCTGTGTCTCTATATGTCTGTGTGTCTCTATGTCTGTGTCTCTATATGCACTGTGGTAGTCTCCTATGTCTGTGAAATGTCTCTATAATGCATAGTAGTAATCTCCTATGTCACTGTGTAATGCTATATGTCTATATGACTCTCTGCTCTATGTCTGTGTATATGTGTGTCTCCTATATGTCTCTATGTCTGTGTGTCTCTATATGTCTGTGTATGCATGTCTCTATATGTCTGTGTGTCTCTATGTGTGTGTGTATATGTGTGTATATGTCATATTCAATGTCTATGTGTGTGTCTCTATGTCTCCTATGTCTGTGTGTCTCTATATGTCTAATGTCTCTATCCTGTGTGTCTCCTATATGTCTGTGTGTCTCTATGTCTGTGTGTCTCTATGTCTGTGTGTCTCATGTCTGTGTCTCCTATGTCCTGTCTCTAGCTCTCCTGTGTGTGTCTCCCTATGTCTATGTCTCTATGTCTGTGGCATATATGTATCCATATGTCTGTGTGTCTCTGTGTGTATGTCTGTGTCTCATGTCTGTTATCTCTATATCGTGTGTCTCCTGTCTGTGTGTCTCTATGTCTGTGTCTCTCTGTCTGTGTATCTAATAATCTCTGTGTCTCTGTCATTTGTCTCATGTGTGTCTATATGTCCATGTATGTCTGTGTCTCTGTCTGTGTCCTCTATGTCACTTAGTGTGTCTCTATGTCTGTGTATGTCGTGTGTCTCTATGTCTGTGTGTCTCTATGTCTGTGTCTCTAATATATCTAGCGTATACTCTATATGTCTGTGTCTCTATGTCTCTATATGTATCTATGTGTATGTCTCTATATCTGTGTGTCTCTCTATCTGTCTCTATGTCTGTCTCTATGTCTGTGTATCTCTATATGTCTGTGTGTCTCTCTATGTCTGTGTGTCTCTATGTCTGTGTGTCTCCTATGTCTGTGTGTCTCTGTGTGTACCTATATATGTCTGTGTGTCTCTCTATGTCTGTGTGTCTCTATGTCTGTTGTATATATGTCTGTGTCTCTCTATGTCTGTGTGTCTCTATATCTGTGTCTCTGTCTGTGTGTCTCTATGTCTGTGTGTCTCTATGTCTGTGTGTCTCTATATGTCTGTCTCTATATGTGTGTCTCTATGTCTGTGTCTCTATATGTCTGTGTGTCTGTCTGTGTGTCTCTATGTCTGTGTGTCTCTATATGTCTGTGTCTCTATGTCTGTGTGTCTCTGTGTGTCTCTATATCTGTGTCTCTATGTCTGTGATGACACCATGTCTGTGTAATCCTCCTATGTCTGTGTGTCTCTGTGTCTGTGTCTCCTATCTATGTGTCTCCCTATGCAGTGTGTCTCTATATCTAGCTATATGCCCCTCCATGTCTGTGTCTCTCTGTCTATGTCTCTATGTCTGTGTGTCTATGTCTGTGTTTCTACATGTGTCTCCATGTCTGTGTGTCTCTATGTCTGTGTGTCTCTATGT